CTTGCAGCAATTACAAACTTTATTATACATTTCAAAATGCAAAAATAGAAATAAAAACTTATGCTGCCGATTGTACAATGCAACAGTTCAATAAATGTTGCACAGTCGGTCAATAGTAGTGGGGATACCATTATGTGTGATTAGTGATTATGCTACGGACTTTTGACGGTGGGATGCGTTACCGTTATTATCATCATCTCTCAACAATATCCCCACGTGTTGTTTGAAAAAAGTAATCTTTTGTTTATAAAAAGTATTTTTTATTGTTAGCAAGAAAAAAGACAGCTAATTTCTCCGGATTTTCTCTACAAGCGGTAATTTTTTTCATTATTTATTCAATATTTTTATTATTTTTTTATTGACAAGATTATGTCTTGTTTACAAAATCGTACTGCCTGCTGTGTTACTAGCTTAGAGATATGAAGGAGTACATGTCAAAAGTTGCAATTTGGCACAAAGTATTAGGTGCCCAAATCATGCGCGCATAAAAAAAACAGACTCGTTGGTACTCAGGGGACTGTGAACCGAGTCAAAATACAATTCAAAATGGCGGCACACTCTACAAACAGGCAGTGCGAGATTTGCGCATGCATTGCTCGTTGGGAAGTTGGAAATGCCACGGGGGTACACTAATGAAAAAAAATTGGGAACCGCTGCTATAGATAATAAAATTCCCACGTTGAGCCCATATCAGTGGTCTCTCGTTGAAAAAATTGTTCTACTTTTAAAACCATTCGAAGAAATTACTGTGGAAACCAGCAACTGAGAAACCACATCATCTTCAATAATTCACACAATAGACTCTGAAATTATTATTATTATCAAAAGTAAATAGTAGTAGTTCCTTTAGTGACATTAATATCACAATAGAAAGACTAAAAAATTCAATATAAAAAGATTTTCAGCATATGTAGAAAACAAGTCTTTATGGTTGTTATCCTTATTAGATCCAAGATTCAAAATTAAATTTCAAGAAAAGATGGTAGAGGAAATATAAAGATGGACAATCGATAGCTTAGATGATGTTGATAATTCAAATCTCAAGAAGAATTGAATTCTGAAGCTTCTACTTCTGGAGACAATCAAGATGGAGGATAATATCTGAGTTTTTCTAATTTATTTGATGAATTAACTTCTGGTGAATGAAAGAATGAATAAGAGAATGTTTTTAAAAAGGAAGAAAAAAACGAACAAACATTTTGATCAAGAATTAGAAAGATATTTACATTTACCTCTTATACAAAGACATTTTTGTGGTGGAGAAGTTCAAAAGAATTTTTTCCTAATTTGAGCAAAATAGCTATGAAATATATAAGCCCCCCAGCATCTTCCATTGAAAGTGAAAGAATTTTCAGAGTTGGAGGTAACATTTAAGAGCCCTGAAAATGGTGAAATTCTCATGTTTTTGTATTACAGTTCAAGGGTTTTAAAGTTTGAATATTAAATTTTTATTTGTTTTATATGTTTAAAGTTTAAACAGATAGTTTTGAATAGGTTACATTATACTTTATGATATGTATTGATAAAAGAAATAATTTAAGTTAAAATTTTTTTTAATATTTAGATTGTCATGTAATAAATAAGAAATATATAACAGAAATTTATTATTTTTTATTACTAGCCGTATACGTGACATGCTAACAAAAATATTAAAATGCAAAATTGGCTGATTACTAAAACCGATTAATTGGGAAAATGGCCGATTACCAATTAATCGATGCATCCTTATTCTCAAGTACTATCTCCTCATTTACAAGTTTCTAGGAATTCAAATTTCACACCTTTATGTGAACTGACCAATACCATCAATTCATATAAAAGTGAAAAATTTTGAATTCACAATGTAATGTGTATAGAAAAACTTCTTTAATTCTGAACAGAAAGTTCTAAAATTTTTATACAGTTGTAACTTTTGATTTTTAGAGAATTTTTACTCTTTGTAATTTTATAATGTTTTGATGCTCTATTATATATTCCATATTTATTTTTTAAAATTTTCAATTACTGTATTTATAATTTTTATTGAAAAATATAAATTACACAAATTTTTTAATAAGTGATTTATTGTGAAATATAGTACTGTAAAATAAAATTACAATTGATATTTTGTTTTTATATTGATATTATTTGTCTTTAAATGTCATTGTAAAGAAACAATAATGCTAAATGGTCATTTACTGTATCAATGTTTATGTAAATTTCATTTAATACGATATAACCATGAAAAGAATTCAGTATTGAAACACTAAGCTTATGTTATATCAGAAACACTTGCTGATGAAAGAATAGAAGATAGAGATTCTATAGTATGTATAATCTATTTAGTATAAGCCCAGAATTTTTAGTACTCTGTTATATTGTGCCACTGGATGTATCACACCTTTGTTCCCAACAAGCGCAATATAACAAGGGGCTACTGTATTTTCAGTAAACCATGAATACTTAAGAAGTCTTTGGTTTCTGTAAATAATCAATCATGAAAGATGATGTTCTTTTATTAAGATTATTCTTATGTTTTCAGCTTCCTTGTTTTTTGCTTCCTGTTGCTTTTGATCACTTAACACTAACAAGCGTCACATGTGCTATTCGTACTTCATTCATGTTATTATTGTTAATGGCCTTCTCCAGTTTTTTGTTTGCCGCTTCTAACAAAACTTGGCCTGTCACATGTATTTCACTTCTACTTTTTTCTGGTTTAAACTGTTGCAGTACCATAATCTTTTCCTTGTTACAAACAGATTTCTTTTGTTCTTCAAAATACTTGTGCTTCCTTTTCTGCTCTGTTTTTCTGTTTCTCTTGTTCTTTTAACTTTTTCATTTTCCATTGTTCTTGATAATTTCTGTGTGCTGAGGCAGTTAATTTCAGTAGGTCCTTTGAAATAGGTATAAGATGTGAGTTTTGGTCATACATGTTTAGTCTCTCCTTAATCAGAAGTGAATTAAGCATTCTTTCCGACACTGATGACCTATCAGGAGGAAGTGTCTGACGTGAAATTGAAAATCCCTGTTCCACATCAGCATTGTCATAAGAGAAGGTCGATGCTAATTTCAGTAATTTGGCTATACTGGAATATTTATGATGATCAAAAACTGTTTACTTTTTTTTTATTGCTTTGAGATGTATAAATATTGATTTCAAAATATATTAATAAATCTGAAATAAACAGATTTCAAATAGTAGAAGTAAAATAATATTTTATTAATAATTTCATAAATAACAGGAACTTTTTCCTGCAGATGAATAAAAAGCAACATCGTTACAATGTTGTTAACCTTTTGAGAAGCATTTGAAAAATTTTCATGCAAGTAATCACATGTACTTTTTACAACACTGAATCTTTTAATTTATTTGGTAAATTTTATATGTAAATATGAATTTACACTTTTGTTTATTTTTTTAATCTCTTAATTAATGCATAATTATAATCAGCATAAGAAAAAAAGATTAAAGAATGGATATTTCACAAATAAAGTAATCACACATTTTATGAAAATAATACTTACTACATGGAATAATTATACTTTTAGTCAATTTAAAAATACATTTAGAAATATATAGATGTGATTTAATGTTAACAATATGCTATAAAAATCATTAAAATAACTTTATTTAACTCAAGTTTATTTTTCTTTAAATAATTTCATAAAGTAAAAAGTATTTTTGCAAATGAAAACTCTAAGACCCAATTGTTAATTAAAACCAATGATCTGCCAAATTATTGAGCTATAACAAGGATAACTAAATTGTCAGAAACAGAATAATTTGTCTAGAGGTATGAGGTTATGCCACTCTCTCATGTTAATTTTAATAATTATAATATGTTTTAAACTTAGAAGTAGCAACAGTGTTGTCAGCTTGAAAGATTAATCCTTTGGCATATTATGTTTTCCCTGCAAAGGAAGTTTAGGGATTTTCTTAGAAATCAGCCAAAACATAAGGATGCTTAGAACACTCATTTTTAATCCCCAAAGAAGGAAATGCAACTCTGAAGAACTAGATTTTGGCTAATAATGACAAATATAGCATGAGTACATAACTTTACTCAACATTGGCTTTTGAATTTGTAATGAAAGAAATTTTTTAAGTGCATGAAGTTTTTACATACATGAAAGGAATTATAACAACACCAAACGATCGCCTAATTATCGGGCTATAATATGGCTATTTAGCCATATTACAGCCCGATAATTAGGCGATCGTTTGGTGTTGTTATTATCTACTCGGGCTGTGAGTTGATGTTTATATATGAAAGGAATTTTTGTTTCACCTGACCTAACACCACTGAGCAGCAGTTGCAGGTTTGAGTTCCACTCAGGACCAAATATTTTCTTCCAGAAAATTCTAGTCAGATAATTTGGCAGATCATTTGGCTTTAAAATTATTTTTGATTGGTCCCACATCTTCCTAATTAAGCACATGGAAATGACCAAATAAGTGAAAAAAACTAAGCAAATGACCTAAAAAGTGAAAAAGTGAGTGACTCCAAGGCCTGTATTTATCTAAAATAGTATTGATTTCAATTTTCACCAAAAAAATTTAAATACATTGAGGAATTTAATAAATTTAAATATTTTTTATTTCAATATGCAAACAAGTAAATAACTTAATTTGTCAAACATTTATATTACAATATACATCTATTTTTGTACTAAGAATTATGTAAATCAACTATAATAAAATTATATTTTACAATTTATTACCTAACATACTAATTAGCATATTAGCACCATACACTTAAAGAAAAAAAAAACTGCTTAAAAATATAACAAAGAAACAGTCAATAGAAAGAAGCTTTCTTGAAAATATAATAATAAAAAATTTGCATGCAATCATGCACTGACTTAAGCATATCTTAAAAATTAATTTGTGTGTATTATAATTTTTGACGATTGAGATTCATTATTATAAAATTTATTTACCAATAAATTACAATAATTTACAAATGAATATTTAAAGTTAATTTATTAAATTTTAGTTTGTAAGATAAATTAGCACTGACCCAGATGAGGCAGGAATAGCTGATGTTGTAGCTGGTGGTCGTGCAGTCATTGACAGCAGAGGATTCGTAAGTTGTATGGATGACTGTGGAGATGATGTAGCCGAACTGATTGTAGAAAGAGCTGGATTTATCACACTAACAAAAGATGCACCGGATGACGATGACGACGATGATGATGCTGTTGATGAGTTAGAAGAAGAAGAAGGGGATGATGTAGCAGATGGGGAAGGTAAAGATATAAGAGGTGTGACACTTGTGGAAGAGGGCTGAATTGATGGTGATGGCAAATTTATAATTTGATTCATAGAACATGAGGATGTAGTAGGTGGATGAGATACTGGTAACTGCTGCATCAATGGTTGATGCCTTCTTGGTGGAGGTGGAAGTTGTTCTGCTTCATCTTCACTACTACTTTCAAGTGTGAGATCAATTACTTCTACTTTAGTTTTTTTCTTTTCAGTCTGAGGAGCTAAAAGTTAAAAATAAAACATATAAGAAAATATAATAATTCAAAGAAAAATAAATTTCAGTTTTTAAAAGACATTACCATCTTTAAAAAACTTCCTTGAATTCTTATATTTTAAAAGTTTAAATATCATCATAATTCAAAAAGCCAAAGTTTTCAAAAACATTTAGTTGTTTTAAAAAATTATAAACAAACATTTGTTAATATTTTTGTGTGTTTTTATGAAGATGAAATAATCACATTATAAGACCATCTAAACCAGGACTTCCAACAGGGCCATTAAAAGTTTGAAGTGAGGAGTCAATGAGCAATAGGTTTGTCCCACAGTACTTCTGTTTTCTTGTCTTAATAAGGTCCTTACAGATTTATTATAAAAAGTTTTTTTTTTTTAATCAATCTTTTAAACCATTTTACATTTACTTTTATATAGATACTAGTAGCTCGGGATGCCCCCTATTGGGTGTTCTTTACAAATTTCCATGAGGCACAGTTCCTTTGACTTTTTTGTTCCTATCAATATGCTCTACAGCTCTGTTAAGGGCCGAATGGTAAGATTTACCCTCCGAATGAAGAGGTGGCGACCCCCCAAACCGTAGACCCTGTACTAACAATAAAGTCAAAGGAACCATACCCCTACTCGTGACCCTTCGAGAGATATAAGCCCCTGAAATAATAAATTCCTATTACAAATATACTGAATTATTTATATTGTTATATTGACCAAATAATAATTTATTGGCCAAATGAATAATAAAAATTTATATTGTTAATTTAAATAAGAATTAAAATTGTTAATTTGAATGTTTGAAATATGACACACAATAGGGGGCGCCTCTAGTGTCCGTTATCAAACGGTTACAGGACAGACACCCGTTGAATGGGTTTTATATATATATAGATAAAGCATTTTTCCTTTCTTTAATTTATAAAAAAAATTTTTTTATCAGTCTTATGTTAATTTAAATTTTATTAATACAAAGTTTATTCATCACTGGTCACTAATATAATTTAAAAAAGGTCAAAGGTAATGTGCGTATTATGTATTTAGTAAGGTGTATTAGAATTATATAGCATTTATTGTTTAATTAAGTAATTTGTAATCAAGGACTGAAGAGGAGCAAAAGGCCCAAAATGAATTTCCTTGTATAATATGTTTGGCATAGTCAATTACTGGTGTGTTCCCTCTTTGATTAGTTCTCTTTAGCAAAATTTATGCTTAAGAGTAATTTATCGCTAAAGAATCCATCAGGAGAATGAGTAACAATTAAATAACCACTGAATTAATGATGTAAGATCTTTTCGAGATATTTATAAAACCTAGTAAAACCTGTAAAATGCTCCTTTATTCTCTTAATGACAGACCTAAATGTAAAGCTTACATAACAGAAGTCTGTCCTGTTTGAAAAATTTTACCATATAAATTCCATTCTTGTCTGTATTATTTGCTTATCAGAATTTAAAAAAAAAATTAATTATAATAGGTAGTGTTAACTATTAAAATAATATTTTTGTCTTTAAAAATGAGTCCTAAAACCCATTATTAAAGTCTTTAGGATAGAGATTTAGCCATCTATCTTGAGACCATAATTACATAATTTGGTCAGCCTATAATAAAGTCTGGCTTGTAATAATTTAACGCATGATCACGTGCAGTTTTCTTTTACATAATCACATCCATAAAGCATAATTTTCTGCTAATTTTTATGTATAATTACTCTGCATGTTATTGTCTGTTCCTTTAATTCAACAATTCTGAAATGTTTGTTCCATGTCTTCTCTGCACATCCAAATTCCAATGTCATAGGTTGTTTAGTTTACAAGACATTGTTTTGTTTACAGAACAATGTCCTTAACTGGACTCCCATAGGGAGCTCTTCAAACATTGTGATGGCATGGCTAATGTGAGACAAATTCAGCTGTAATAAATGGGAAGGCTATGGTGTTTCTCAGCAGGATCAGAAAATCTAAGCCCAACAATTAAGCCACCACTGGGTCATCCAGGCTCTTCACCACTATGTACTATCTGATGACACATTTTATATTCATCAGAGAACATTGATTAAAATTACTGAAGATGTATGACATATTTCCACTAAACAGAATACATCCATTTTATATATCAAATTCTAGAAATTAGTTAAAATAATATTTAAACCTATAATATTGTAAAAAAAAAAGTTTCATATTATCTTTGCTACCCAAGTACAGAGCTTTACACTGGTCATCCTTGACCTTTATGTCATAATGTTATTTATCATTGCAAACTATATTCTTAAAAAAGATTGAAAAATTTCAGGCAAATATCTCATCTACAATAATTCTGTTGTATTGCAATTTAACATTCCTTTTATCTCCTTTTAAACATTTCTTTTCCATAGAACCTTAATTTGTTTCTGAAAGCTCTGGTATTCATCAAATAATCATCATTAATGAATAGATTTAAACCTTTTAAATTACTAATATTTTGGAATTTGATTGGTTCTCTAACCTTAAGCAGACCTTGGGTAAGGTTGAAAGTGTTTGTTCAATGTTTTATGAAACATTTTGTCACTGGATTTAAAGGTTTGTTAATGGTTGTTACTAATATTTTTATATACTTATTTAATTTTGAAGATAAATTGTATATAACTCACAAATAATCAATCTTTTTGCATTTGGTTTAAATTTTCCAATTCTAAAAGCATGCTTAATATTTACAACTGCAACCTGTAAGTTATTGTTAAATAGTCCTTTCAGAACCTTTTTATCCAGTAAGGTACGATATTTAGATACAAGAACAAATGTTGTAAAGTACTATATTATTTTTCCGACTTTCCAACTATTATCGGCACGACTGTGTGCCGGAAATAGCCATCCCCTAACAGGTACTTTACGCAGATTCGCGTTAGTGTGCCAGGCCAGGACTTTAAGCGTGCACCAAATTAAATAATGACAAAGTTTGTCAATAACAAATCAAATATTTAATAAAAGTTCTAGTAATAAACTCTATACAAAATTTAGTAAAATTCAAATAACAATTTATTCAATGAAAGTCAATAAGAATCAACCCAACAAAACTCAAATCCATCTATTTTCTAACTTAATTCTATTCCCCTTTGGAATTAGACAAAATTTCAAAGACTTAATTTATATACAATAATTCTTATGAATTAAAGATCCTAATCGTCACCTCAATATACTAGGAACCCTTTTCCTCAACTCTCAAGACTCTCTATTCGTCGATCCACAAATCGAATAACTTCAAAAGCACCTTGGAACTATTTTATCCTATCGGTCACCTCTCTTTCGTTTGCTGCTACGAAGCTCATCAAGCTCATTGATAACAGAAGCTCACCTCGTCCATCTTCACTCGAGATTCGGACTTTATACTGTGAGGTGACGTCACAACTCTGAATGCGATCACTCCCCTCATTTACATACTTATTTGCTAACAATAAACTTTTTCTATTTGTCTGGCAGCCTATTTTCCGACAATATTCGCTAACCTTTTACATTATTCGTTTTGGCAATTTTCGGGATGTTTTTATTTGTCACAGCGCGGATTTTAAGATAGTAACGGAGACTAACTAGGAAAATGGAAGGAAAAGAAGGTCATGCGCCGTGTGGAGTGACAGCAGGAAGTACTGGAGTAGGCGGACTTGGGGGCATGATTCCTCTCATACCATCTTTTGCCGTAGATCCAGATGGCCTTAAGGTCACAAATTTTTTTTGAGTCCTTAGATGAGATTGGTAAATTGACAAATTGGACCAAGGCGCAATGCTTAGGAGTAGCTAAATTGCTATTAATGGGGATAGCCCGAGATTTTGCGTGGAAGGATGCTACGACAAAAGATATAACAACTTATGATGAGTTCAAAAAGCTTATGATAAAAAGATTTGAAAAGGAACCTCTCTCTTTACAATTACAGAAGTTTCACGCTTGCATGCAAGTGCCGGGAGAAGACGTGCAGACCTACGCCGTCCGATTACAAACTTTAGTGGTAGAAATTATTAAAGAGCAACCTAGTGATAATGCACAGGAACGGGAAGTTGTAAAACGATGCCAACAAAAGGAAAGAGACAAACGGTTGTTAGTGCAGTTTATGAGTGGACTCAATGATCAGATAAAGCGACACGTGATGTCAAAAGAACCCGATACCTTTGATAAGGCAGTGCGAATAGCTATTAGCGAAGAAAGTATAGAACAATTGACGGGAAGACCCCGGGGAATAATAAGGACTGTAGATAACACTAGCGAAAAGGATACTAATCATAACCAATTAGAAGAAACGCTGAGGAAAATTCAGGAGCAACTTCAACAACTGAACCCTTCGGACCATAGTTGAGGCGACCCTAGACATAGACCAATGCCATTTTGGCATTCTCAGGAATATCCAGATCAACGAAGATAAAGCTATATTGATAGAACTATAGACTAGTGATGTAACGAATATTTGGTTACTATTTGGTATTTGGCCTATTTTTCGTTATTCGGCTGAATACCGAATATTTAATCACTATTTGGCCGAATACCTAAAAACAGGAGTAGGAAATAACAAAACTACATTAAATTAATCATTTTGAAATTTAGATTTAATGTTATCGGGTTAGTGTTGTTTGTTTATATTTATTTATAACATGTGCAAAATAAAAAAGAAAATAATATTAGTCACATGTATTCACAATTTATAATTACAAAGATCAGCACACGTACACACCTATTCTCCAATGAATAGGTGTATACGTGTGGTGTCGTGTACGTGTGTACGTTGCACATCTGAGGGTCTGATCCTGCCTATCCTTCTTTTTAAGTGCTCGTCTTTGCTCTTCCCTTTCTGTTTCCTTTATTGCTCTAGTGCACGTATGCCTATGCATACATCATAATACGCACGCTCACGATACATTCGATTTGTCACTTTTCCGCCGTAGATTTCCCATTTTACAATTATGTGACTCTTAGCCTGGTAACAATGGAGAAAAGAGACAGATAGGACATCGGTATAAGTCATAGTTATGATTTCACAGATTCGAGACAGCTTGGTAGCCCGAACGGCCCCAGGCTTTCGTCTGTGTACGCTAAGTGACTTTCATTACAAGCATTTAGCTTTCCGAAGTCTATGACAACAATTATTTGGCATTGACGGCCGTGAATTTCGCACCAATAAGCTGCTTCGACTCGTTCAATTATGTTATCGACTCAATTTCATATTTATTTTCACATTTTTACTTCGTGGTCCTTCTCTGTTCTTTTTCCGTTATTTACACGTGTACGTCATTTCATTGTTATCCACATCTGATATCATCACTTATCACATACTGCCATGACACTCTTGTCTGTCCGCTACAACTGTCAAGAATGAACGCGATTGGCAAAGTGTAGTGACAGTGGAAAATTAGAGAGCAGGGTCCTTACCATAATGCGGTTTGCATGCCAATTTTCATATGTGCATTAATCAAGTCGAATATTTGGCTATTCGGCCACACTCCTGGCCGAATATTCGGTATTTAGCCTGAGGCCGAATATACTATTCGTTACAACACTACTGTAGACCAAACAATCAGGCAAATACAAGAGTAATTACGTGAACTACAACGGCAGGAAAATCAAACCAAATTCTCCATGCATAGATGCAACAATGCTAGAAACAGATATAGGGACCCATTTGATGACTCAAGAAACATTATAGGTGGCATACGAAATCAAACATACAATTCTATACACAGATCAAGACGATATGAGGGAAGACACGATTTAGGCGACTCAAGAAGTAATTAATTAAAGACTAATTTGTGAGTAAATGCATGTACTGTACATATTCTATGAAATATGACTGCATAGGTGTAAACGAAACTTGTAAGAATCCCTTCTGTTACGAACATCAGTGGCAATAAGCACGTAATTGGCAAATCATCGTTCCTTTTTAATCAACATATATTAATCATATTCATGTGTCCATCACAAACTCTGCACTTTTCTTCTTCTCGAAGGCTGTGACACACCTAGCCTTATCTCTGGGCATATAAATGTGCCATAACACACTGGTTGTGGAGCTGAGATGAAGGGTTAAGCATAAGGCAAAACCAAAGACGACTCAAGGAATCTCCTTGAAAAATCCCTCACCTGATGTATATTTGACTTAATTTATGAGATTAAATTTTAAAGTTATGAGATTAGAATGTAATGTAGTGTTCTCAGTGGGAGCATGGTAAAACCAAGGAAACTGATCAGTTGGGAATGGATTTTGTAGATGTCAAATATACATCAAGTGATTTTGTAGATGTGAAGTGTGTGCAGCAGCCAAGTGTGTGGGAAACTATTGAATGCTTCTCTGTAATCAATGTATGTCATGGTATGTTTCTATGGTGCTTATGAACTTGCTTTAGGATAACAGAGTCAATAAGTAGTAGTTCTTTGCAACCTTTGTGATTTCCATGGCAGCATTTTTTTTTTGTTTTGTAAGAATGTTATCAATATGATTATATATTTTGTTTGCAATGCAAGAAGTAAGAATCTTGTAAAGTGTTGGAAGACATATCATTGATTTGTACTGTGCAAGGTCTGTATTGTTGTATTTTGGTTTCATGTGGGTGATGCCCTGTGTGAAAATAATTGGAATCTCTTATGGATTGTTGATAATATGAGAAAATATTTAGCTAGTTCCTGGTGCACAGATGTGAATTTTTTGTACTAGAAATTGTGAATGTTGTCTACACCACATACTGTCCAGTTGTGTGTTTTCTGCATTGTGCAATGGATGTCTTTGTATTTATTTCAACACAATGCATACTGTGTGTCCTTGCTTTAGTAGACCAAAGAGAAGACCAATAATTTGTGAGTTCTTCCTCAGCTGGCATGACATTGTGTTCAGAATCAGTAGTGGATTTGATATTAATTTGCCCATAGAAGAGTTTTTCATTGTTCCTGAATAATTTATTATTTTGTTGTTTCTGTACATAGCAAATTTTATATCATTTGCATCACTGTGCTTTGGCTGAAAGATTTTGTTTCAGTGTGTCAATGTACAGTATTCTGTAATATGGACATTGTGTTATTTGGGCTTTTTCTTGTTCATTAATTTAGGTGTTGTTTTGTTATTAGCATACTGTGTCAGCCTGCCAAGCTGCTTTCTATTATTGGTTATTTGTGTTTCTATTCTTCTTTGCCATTATTATTATTATTATAAATTTTTTGATATATATATATATATAAAAATAAATTTTAAATTATCAAAATAAGTTTTAAAATTTCTGTTATTATATACTTACACATTAACCTAGGAGGACTATGTTGAACAACTGATGTGTTTATAACATGTGTTTCCTTTTTATGTAGAAGTGGTGTCCAAGAACCATCTTCATGAAACTGGACCTCAGTACAATCTGATGGGGCTTTAGTTGTGATTTCCATAAATAATCTAAATGTATGAAAATATTTACTTTAATCAAAATCAATATTTTTAAAAAGTTCTTCTCTAATCAAATCAAATGTAATATTAAATCAGTGTTTTGCATCATTTCATGTTTTGTAATGAAATATACATTTTATAATTGAATAAAGAATTGTTTAATAAGATGTTTTACTCTTGCTTTGGATTTGAAGATTATACATTACTGGTAGCTTTCTTATATTGAATCATTGTTTATTAAAGTGAATTCAGATAGTAACCCTTGACAAATTTAAGTTATTCTTTTCATAAAGTTATAAATGCAAAGCTGTGAAAAATATTTTGTTTATACCAAAGCATAAAATATAAAGTGTATGAAAATAATCATAATTTAAGAGCACATTTCATTTCTAAAAACCTCTCAAAAATCAAAATTTGAAAAAAAAAAAAGGGTTAAGCTTATCCATTTCTTATGAACAAAATTTGTATTTTGTTCTGAGATAACTCAGTCAGTACAATATGTTCCAGACAACATCAATTAATGATTCTAAATTAAATAAAATGAAACTGTCGATCAGGTTAGTATTACCAACTTAAAAGGCATTAATATGAAAGTAGAAAAGCAAATACATAAGTCATCACATATTTATTTATTTAATAATAAGAAAATGATAGTTAAAACAATGAGCAAGCAGAAACAAGAAAACTTGTTTTCTAATCAATAAATCGTATTTGTTGATAGAATAGCTTGAAATATGAACTATACAACTATGTTGTAACAAATGCTATCATCCCTAGAAAATGAATGCACAGTGCAAATGAAACAAAATGTAAACTGGAACTTATAAGCTATCTATTTAGATGCAAAAATTTTAATGTCATCACACTTATGATTAGAATATTTTATTCTTAGAAATATCAGCTGGTGTTCATCATATCAAATATTTCATCTTGTAAATGGAGAAAAGAAAAACTCACTGTATTGAATTACTGTACACCAAGTATTTGTAAGTTAAATCAAATTGTTTTTTTTTTCCTATTTCAATATATGTATAAAGAATGTGAGTAATTGGGCTGAAAATTTGAAAAAACTGTAGACCTATAAATTCCCACTATCATCTGTCCATCTTTCCTTAATCTCAAGAACAGTTAGATAGATAAAATACGAGACCAGATATGGAAACCTTAGGACAGGAGCCCAGATTAACAATATATGAACTTCTGATGCAAACTGGAAGTCATGTTATTTCAATTCAAATCTTCCTCTGAAAGCTGTTAAGAAATGACCAGCACAACTTTATTGTTAAAGGAAAAGTATGATGTATAGGAGCAAGCCACTACTAATTTGAAGGTGAAAAGCATATATTTTAAATTAAATAAATTAAAAATAGCAGCCTGACATTGTGATGTCACAATAAATAATTGCATGTATAGGAGTTAATATTTGAAATAAAAAACTAACAAATTAAAAAAAATTTGTTTGAATTTAAAGGCTAAAAATAATTAAAACTCAAAAAATCTAATTTCAATTTTTAAAAATTCAAAGATAACAGATTGAATATTCCAAGAACATACAAAATATTTATCATATCCTGTAAACCCAATTCTGTTTTTACAACGTTTTGATTTAACAGTCTGGAAAATTCAAATATCTTTTCATGTGATTTGTTTTGTTCTAATACATTACAATAAATTTGCCTTTTTAATAATCTCCATTTCAATTTAATTCTAAGAAAAAATATTCACACTTGCTTTTTTAAGAAATTGCTCTTTAAAAATATTTTTTTAGATTTGCATTTAACACTACTACATATGCTCTAGTAAATTTTAAGATTTGCCTGTTTATTACAATATATGTAACAATAATCAGTCCTATATTTCAACTTTATCCTGTGAGTGATGGAATCAGAAAAAATTTAATTCAAAGTTTACATGTGATTGCATGATTACGTTTCTTCTGATTTTATTATACCACAAGTATATCAACATCAATACAATAGTTATTTCCATAAGAATAGTTTTTGTATGCCATTTGAAGTTAAAAGCACTAATTGAAAAAGTGGAATAAAATTTGAGCAAAAAATATAAATTTTGCTTTAAGTTCTAAGCTCTTAAGTTTAACTTCCAATTTACAAGTAAAATTGAAATATTTTGTATAAACATATCCTATTATACTAATTGATTTATTGCATTATTTTTCTGGTTTTTAAGGTTGGAAACCAATCATCTGTTTTTCCATACAGACATTATCTTTTTTTTAAAGCGAAGTTTTCAGGAATGTTTGTACTATGTAAAAACAAAATTAAACATATAAAGAAATATTATATTTTAATACAGTAATACCTCAACTTACGCTACCCCGACTTAAACAAACCCGGAGTTACGCGATTTTCAAATCTCGTCGATTCATCTTTTGTTTTAGCGCCACACAACTTTCGATTACTCACTCCCCCACACTGTTGTTCAGCTTACATTTCAGACGTGTAGCGCGGAATCGACGCATAGCTACAATTTATTTTGTGTTATTTATTTCTGTGTTCGTTATATCTACGGAGACTCGAGAGACTCTATGTGGTGATTTCTTGTAACTGTGAACGAATCAAAAGACGAGATAAGATTAACGAGAACATTTATTAGCTTACATACGTCCGACTTGGATTTTATACAAATTGCGAAATTATACCCCAACTTACGCGAATTCGACTTACGCGGTTATCTCTCGGTCCCACCTATCGCGTAAGTTCGGGGTATTACTGTATTAAATTTTACATTAGTGAAATAAAATGTAACATAACTGCAATATCATTAAATGACTTGAAATTAATTGGAATGCAAAAAAAACTTTTGGAAACTAAAAAATAATACTCACCCATCTATTACTAAGTTTTTAAATGTAGCAGGTTTATCACATACAGGACAAATCCAGGTTGGTTTTTTCTCATTCATTTGAAGATATAATGATGCATCAAAACATTGCAAATGTGTACAAGTAATTGCTCGACAAGGAATTTGCATTCTCATTTTTCCAAGCTGAAATATAATAATAAAATTTATACCAGAAATGTTTACAAAAAATAAATTATAAAATGTTACATTAAATATCTATTATATTTTTCTGAATTCAAACATTTCCTAAAACTTATATACTAATTCTAGAATCTACTGTCCAAAAGGATATTTTATTTTAAAGAGTACTCAAATTTGAAGAATTTAAATGCTTTGAAATATCTATTCTTAATCTGTTAGAGATGGAGAAAGTCTTAATATGTAACATTTCAATTTAATTTATTATGACAAAAAATTACTCTAAAAAATAAAAAAAAATTAATTTTTCTGGTGAATGATGAGTTATCCTCTCAGACATTTTCCGCTTTACTATGCACATGCAAAAAGAGAGCGAGAGAGAGAGAGTGTGTGAGTGTCTAAAATTGCTTCTAAAAATGATAAGTAAAAATGCTGATTTAACAAAAAGATAATAAAAATAAAACAACTTCACCCAAAATCATATTCTTTACAATATCTTCAAAATGAAAGTGCCATGTAAGATTTTTTTTTAAATTCAATCTATTGATGACAAATTTTAGCATCCTAAAATATTTTTATTTTCAGAATTTCCAACATCAGACAATATTATCTCTCTTCTGTTCAAATCAATTAAATATTCTATTAAAATATCACAATATAAATAAAGAATATTTTAGATTGACTTTTCTACACATGTAATTTGTATTTGGTTCATCATTTTGACTTTCCTTTTCATTAATTCCTTAGTTAAAAAAGTTCTTATATTCAATGATTGCTTTAAGACTCTTCTAGGTTTTAGATATTCTATTCAAGCAGATAAAAAAAAAATCTTGTAAGGACTTTTTCTTGCCTTTCCTGGTACTCAAACAAAAGATTAAGGAAATCAGTTTGATAACTTTCAATTATACTATAATATAAAATTTAAACAACAAAAGCTCAAAAGGCATACTTTTTTTTAATTATGATTAATTTCTCTATTTAAAAAAAAAACACTTCAGTCTGAAAACACTGGCACTAACTCAAAGTTGCAATTATGAATGAGTTATTGATTATTGAGTATTCATGAGACTTTTTACCTGATATAAGAATTACATGTAATAATGAAGTCTATATACAAATTGAGTTTGAGAGAAAGTCACCTGATTTAGTTATAAGTTTTTCAATGCAAAATCATAATAATTCACATACATTGACAGGTTTTCTATCTAATACTTAGAAAAGAGCTATTTGTGAATATTAATTAGCTGGCACTATTTAGGAGAGATCTACATTGAATTTTGACTGTAAAAAAATTGCATGTCCAAATTCATTTTTTGAAGTAAAATCTCACAAACCAGATTGGCTCTTATATCCTTTAGTAAGCAAATGCTCACATCTATCATGCGAGATTTCACGTTATAATTCACTTTTGAGGAAAATTGCATTATGTCAATCAAACAGAAAAGAAAGTTCATTTTCCAACTTTGTAAATTTTACAAAAATATAACAAATTTTTCTGCCAAAAATTCAATAATTTTCCCTAAAAAATTAAATTATTAACTCTGAATTATCACAAAAATCAAGTACATAGATTTCTCTTCCCTCTCACACCATCATACACTAAAATTAAAAACTAGTCTTTGTAAGCCCAATCATCCCATATTTAGAATCCCTCTCACTACATGTGGCCAGAGTTTATAAAAGATATAAGCTTATTTCAATCAGGCCACAAATACCATTATTTAGATTACTTTGTAATGACAGATAGTTTTCCTATGTTAAAAATATTGGGTTTTTAAATGGTTCCGTTAGAGCAACCAAATAGAACACACAAATATTTTACATACAGGTCATAAGCATAAAACATTCATATTGACTAATTGAACAAACATACTATAAAACCCTTCAGGGGTTTATTAGACCATGACCATGTACCTTTATAGGCCAAAGAATTACTCCCTAGACAATGTAGTAAATGCATCTATTTTTATATGAGAATCATTATACATATCTATACTAGGACTATGTAATAAATCTATGTTATAAATCCCAGAACCATGACACACTATTTAAAAAAATAACTCAATATTTTGCAACTGATTTTTTATTATATTCTTGCTTAAATTGAGATCTGATTACACAATTTTATTTTTATATCATTGCATAAAAACTTTTTAGTTACATCAGTACATCTCATTTTTGTCTACATTCAAATTTTAATGTTTATAAGTTGAAATATGTATTCATCTTATTTTAAATGAATGCATTAATGATATTTTTAAGTATGTTCTACATTGCCCGAAGAAGACCTGCCTTATGCATGAAAGTTTGATTTTTAAAGTAAATTATACTTGAAATAGCAACTGGTATCTTTATAATAATTACTATTTCCTATATATCAGTAATAAGAAAAGAATTTAAATAATCCTAGCTACCATAATTTACAGCATTTATTAATTTTACATTATTTCCCTAACTTTTCAGAAATCCCCAAATAGTAGCCTTGTCTACTATTCAAGATTAGTTACTATTTGAGAATGGTTATTATTCAAATAAACTTGGTAATTCATATAATTCATATTCTAAAAACAAAAATGATTATAGAAATATAATAAAGCAGAAGTTCCCATTTGTTCTGGTAGTACTAATCCATAAAAAGTTTAATAGTAATAAAAGCAAAAGCAATAAATTTCTATTAAAAATAATAATATTTTTAAAAACATTAAATATATTATTAAATAAATAAAATATGTTATACACTATACATCAATCACAAACTTGATAAGATGAAAACTTACTCATATTCCACACATTTACCTATCTAAGGATAGATAAATAAATTCATTGAAAACTACCTATCCTTATGTGAAAAAATATGGAAAATACTACAGCAAAGAATATGAAATAAATATTCTTTCTGAATTTTATTAGACATTTTCATTTTTAAAAATAAAAGCAGCATATAACTGAAAATTCCAGAAATGATTAAACCAACAAATGCTTTATTATTAAACAGAAATTAATTCAAGCTGATAGACATTTCATTTAATATTGCTGATATAATATACATGTTTAATAACTGTTTAAAGTTTAAACAATAGTTAAATATTTTAAATTTATGTGAATCCAAGTTTTATTTGTACATCTATATTGACAGTTTGTCATAAAAAAACAAAGAATAATTTTAGATTAATCCCATATTAAGGAACTATATAGAACTTACAGGACAAATCAGAGATCCTCTTAGACTAGTAGTTGCAATCTCAGAATCAGGATCATGTTGTAATTTTTCTTTAACTGTAGTAATTAAAAAAGTCATTCCCAAATCAATATTAATTATTATTCTTGAAGATTCTATATTAACTAATTAAAAATCATATTAACTTTAATATAAATAAAGTAAACTTTTATTTATGAATGAAACTATATTACAAAATGAAATGAAGTAAAATGATAACACAAATGCATTTGTTTTCTTTAGGTTAGATAAATCAGTTTAACAGATTATGTAAAATATTCATTTAATTTGTTGCATAAATTTTTTGTTTATCCAGGGAAAAAGTACAAAATTGATTAACATAATAAGTTTATAGTATTCTATAAACTTATTATGTTTATATTAGCATACTATACTGTAATAGAGTTGTTCACAATCAAGAAGTACAGTAAATATAAGAGAAAATATTCAAGAGAGACAAAAATTTGCCTAAATTGCTGATTTACCTTGCCCATGTTTAGAAAGCAATATTTTACTATTTTATTTTTACAGAAGAAACTAATTTTACTTCAAATGTAAGCACAGAAATCTCATGTAGCATGTATTTTTAAATTAATCAAGTATTAATGACATTTCATTACTAAATACAGTGGGTGATCAGTTAATGAACATAATCCGTTCCAAGTCTTTGTTCACTTTCTGAATTGTTCGTTAACCAATTATTGATTTACTATAGGTTTTTATGGGAATTTGATTAATTTGTTCCGGAGACTCCAAAAAATAAAAAATACACACATTTTTACTACGTTTATTTATATGTAATAGTAAAAACACATATATGCAGTCTTGCATTTTTATTAGTCATGTTTTTTCCGTTTGTGGGGGTTAAAGAATCTGTCCAATGTCAATTGCTTTTCTCTTTTTTTCAGGATTTTTCAGAAGTAATTAATAGTATTGTAATTGTAGAGATCCCCAACCCCATTAACCTTATTCTGGTTTGGATGCCACTTGGATGATTGTTGTTTTGACATCCTCCCACTTTTTCAAAAGATCTTTAGTAGCAGATGTTGACATTGGTCCTCTTTTTCAAAAGAAAACACATCTCGCTGAATTTCTTGGTATTCTTCATTTGAGAGTTCTTTCAGTTCTTCTGTCATCAGATCAGTTTCAGGTTCCATTATGAGCTCTTCAATGTTCCTTATTTCTCATATGTGATTTTCATTGCTCCATTAGCAGCTCAGACTTCTTGATATATCTTTCATAGCTAAGATTGTTCCTACTGTACACCTGTTAAAGCCATACTGCCTAGCAACATCAGACATCTTGCACCCACTTTCTACCTTGGCTATTATTTTACTTGGTTTCTACGATGAACATAGTTCTTGACACTCCTCTTTTAAGGCTCCATAATATTATCAGTTTCTTTTTTAAATAAAGTTCAGAAAAGCACTTACAAAAATTCAGAGAACAGAAATCAACTAGCCCACAAAAAATTATTTAAATGCAAGGCCCGGACAAAATTCGAAATTTGGTATTAAAACATTAACAAATGTCCAATGGGACAGTTAAACTTTCACCTTCCGTAAATAAACCCAAAACTTAACAAGTGCCCACCTGACAGTCTCGTGAAGATTAAAAAATTATTTGTCAGAAAGGTAAAAAAAAGCTAGAATTACAAGGGATAGTTTCAAAATTTGAAGGAATACCATCTGATCAGTATCGGGTTGAGTGTCAATGTTAACGTCTCTCACGCTCTGAAAGGTTTCGAATTGTTACCTGAAGACAAGGGAAAATCAATCGGTATTCGTTATTTTCCGTCAATTTTTTTTATGTTTGTTCAATAAAGTGTTCATTGTCCAATCATAAAAATCTTTTGCAAAAGTGTTCATTATCCAATTTGTTCACTATCTGAACTGTTCGTTAACCAATCACACACTGTAATAGAAAAAAACTTTCAGCTAATTTCATATAGATTTCTTTAATTACAAATAACAGTGGAACCCCAACAATTTGACATTTCACCGGGAAAGCTAAACATGGTATATCAGCTGATGAGTTACTGAGATTTTTAAATTTTAATGGTTGGCAGTGTCATTAAATACAATACTGTATATGCAATTTGTCAGTTTTGTGTTACTAGACTATCTTACTACAGTACATAAAGTAATAGTTAAATTAATGAAATTGTCCTGCTAAGAAACATTTGTATAAATGTAATCTTTTTACATATGAATAAATTATTGTATTGTATTAGGGTACCATAATACATAAGAGGAAAATTTGTTATTTACTTTGTTATTTAAGCATACTTATGTTTTGGCAAAGCATACACAAAGTCCTCAATACTCTTCAAGTGGGATAGAGGACTGTCAGGATTATCCTGTGTTTGAATAAAACAAATCATAAACAGTCTGCAAAGATTCTCTGGTTTAGTGTTTATTTTCATCTTTCAAACTTTCTTGATCATCATCATTAGCAAAAGCAGCAGCACCATTTGTGCACCCTTTTAATAGACTGTTTAGTACTGTTAAGAATGTTTTCTTCATCCATCATCTCTGATGTTATCACCACAGCATTATCTACTTGTAAACTTTCATCTGTTTTGAATGGGCAGGTGATGCCAACAGCATTGAAAAACAATTCTGAATTGTTTCTTTTGACACCAAATTCCAAGCAGAAGAAATCATATCCATGGCATCCAAAACCGATTTTTAAATTTTAACTTTCTTTTACATCTTCAATGAATTTCTGAACTAGCCTTTGATAAAAATGCTTAACACTGAATTATGCTTTGGTCTAATGGATGTAAAACAATTGTACCTGGAAGAAGGAAACAACTATATTGATGAAAGATTTCTAAATGTGGATGAATTGTACAATTATCCATCATCATATATACTCCTACTTTCCACAAAAAACTTCCTCTCAGGCTTTCTTATCTGGAATTCAAAAATTAAAGATGCCATTCACATCTTTTTGTAGCTTCCATAGTCAACTGGCAAAGCCTTTACATCTTTGAAACAGTGAGGATGTCTAGATTTACAATGATAAACAGTCTCAGTTTTTTGTACCATTCATATTGATCACAAAAAAGATAGTCAAGTATTTTTTGTCTCTCTTATGATCATCAAATATTTCCCTTTAAAAACCAATATCTGGAAACAATTGTTTAGAAAAGGCTAGTTTTGGTCACAGTTAAAGATATTGTTGCTAGTATAGAATTCCAGTTTCTTTTCAAGGTGTTATCTTTTGCAATGCATGATTGTGTCTTTGGGAACAGAAGGCTTCTCCAAAAAATTTATCTCCTGACTCTGCTTGAATCAATTTAACCAGCCATTGCCAGCATGGAAATCCATCACAACCAATTTCTTAATGAAATCTTTAGTATTCTGTTGAATAAGTGGACCATATATAGGAATTAATAACACTGGCACAGATTTAAACAACATTAGAATAGCTTCAACAAGACTAAAGTTGGACATCTACATGTGTTTTCTCACAGGTCTTTAAAATTTTCTCCTTATTCTTCCCAAATGTCTAACATTGTACATGGTATGCCATATTCTTTCACAATATCAGACTACTTATAGCCATCTTCAAGTTTTCTTAAAATTTTAGCATTTGCTTTAAGTGTTAATCCCTGTAGTTTTTGTAGAGCCATCATAAAAATGTGTAGTTCTAGTGGCTGAGTGGAAAAAACTCCAAATCCAACTACCAGTGTTCAGTGTTTGCACCTTGCTAATGGACAGGCCACATGGCACTTTCTGGGTTTTCTTCATATCAGTAATGCCTACATAGGGACCAGTTTTCCCTAAAAAACCTCCCAGGCGGCATTCCTCTTGGCAGATCGCCCATGTGTGATATTGCCTTAATCAAATAAAAAATGTGCTGTATATAGCTATTGTATGCAAATGAACAAAATGAACTTTGAACACTTAATGGACATAACTGTAACCAGAAAATGTCCTCTAGTGTTTTTCCAGAGATAACAGCACCTTTTGTGGGTTAGGGTAATCAGATTGAAGAGAGATAAGAGGAAAAAATACTGTATAGAGGTGTTTACACAAGAATACACCACTAAAAAACTCAGTTCAATCCAATGACAAAAATTCAAGTCCATAAAAATTTTTTATTTCCTCCTGAATCCAGCTTCAGGTTAAACTCATTCTAAAAATGGAATTATTCAAAAGAACATCCATGGAATTTAAATTAAGCAAGGTTTTCAGTGGTGTATTCTTGTGTACTGTAACATCCAGTTTATGGTATATCCTTGTTGAGGCATTCACACAACAGGAGTGAAGATTCTCAAAAAAACTTGTCTTTTCTTTTTTAAAAAATATATATATTGAATGTAGATAGAGTTGATGTGTCATCTGTTGGTTAACAATGTCAATTTATAGGTTTTTCTCTCATAGAATATATCAGACCAACCAAAATAGAGAAAAATGTTGAATTATCTGAGTGTTGAGATAGTGGGATTCCACTGTATTTAATAATTACTTTAATTTCAATAACTACTGTAGAATTCAATAATTTCAATATACTGTTTCATTGAATAATGACTGCTAGTTGAAAAATCAAATTATTTTTTATTATTGTAGTAATATTTTAGACTTGACCCAAGTCAACTTTAGCATTTCAAACGTCAGAACTTACTAATTATTAAAATACTTTTCTTTGTAAACAAATGTATTTTAGCATAAATAAGAAACTTTTTTAAGTACAGGAATGTAAATTTTTCCCATTTAAATTAATGGTAACTCTGACCTAATTTACAAGAATTTGTTTAACAGTTTTTCAGGAATACATTATAGCTGTAAATTAAGATGACTATTCTACATATAATTACAATTCAAATTAAACCATTCTAATATGACGATTTTTGTCTCTGTAATCCAAAATTATTCTTCGTAGACAAATCTCATAGCAATCTTATTGGCAAATTAAATTTATTTTGTAAAGACTACAAAGTTATTTATTTATTTAAAAGTAAATTTATTTAAGTTATTAAAGTAATTTATTTTGTCTACGAAGAATAATTTTGGATTACAGAGACAAAAAAATCGTCATATTAACTAATATACAGCAAACCATTTATATATATTTTAAACCATTCTAGTTGAATATTTGAAAGTTTTAAAAATTGTTATTACTTAGTAACTACTAGATAAATATGGCATTTAAATATAAAAATATCAAGATCCATTCAATTCTAATACCTATTCATACCATAAAAGAAAGCCTTTTCAAATTTTTAAAAATTCTGAAGTGATTCAGATAAATTTACAAAATTTTTGATGTCTTACAACTTACTCATTGCTTTTGTGTGATCTGGATTTCTTACTTCTGATGCTTTTAATCTTTGCAATAATGTTGAAGAACCCAATCTCTGTACTAAATACACAGCAACAGCATATGCCTAAAAAATATTTATATTATATTAATTAAAAAGATAAAACATGAAATATCAATATTAAGTTTTTATGGCATTTTTCTATCTATTGTTAGTTCTGTATTTTCCATAACGTATTTGTATATAAAGACTTTCAACTCATAAGCCTCAAAGTTAAGACTGATAATGAAATTATCAGTCTTAACTAGTACTTTAAATGTTAATAATTTTAGTTATTTGCTTGAAGTATACTGTAATTTAAACTGCTGACATTTGTAACTTCAATTATACAGAGATTTTTTCAGTTATTTTTGAATAAGTTTATTATAAGAAAAGTCATTAAGCAAATAAAAAGTTTCCACAAGTCTTTGTTACATTATGTTTTCTGTTATTTCTGTAAATTACCCAACAATGCTGCTTCCACAAACTGAAGATCTTTCTGACTATTTGATGTCAATCTTGTACCACTTCTGTTTGCAAACTTTCCAAACACCATATGCTGCTTTTCAGTTAAACAACTTCTATTTCAACCAACCATATCCAAAGAAGTCAAGAGGACATTGTATGACATGCAGAAAAAATGTTTGATTTCAGTTATAATGAATAGAAAAAAAAATTATATGTAGTGTATATGTCACTATCTTACATCTATATATAAAGTTGAAAACTCATTTACTCGTATTTTATTGTCACTCAAAGTCAGTCCTACACAAAAATGACAGCCAACAAAATCAAATGAAGACATTCATAGACTCACACCTGTACTGTAGTTCACTTATTTTTGTAATTTTACAAAAAACAAACAAAAAATAAATAAATAAATCGCAAAAATAAGTGTACTATACACAATTTGGAATTGTTTCTATTTCACATTTTATTACAAAACAGGAATGATAAAATTTATTTTCACAGGTGCCATCCAAAATATATGAAAGCTAGCTCATTACGATCACTAAGGTTATTCAAAACTTTTTGTACTTTTTAAGTTATTAAATATTATTTTAAATTTCAAATTTGTGTTTTAAATAAATCATAAATAAATCACATTAAATAAATTCATACAGTGTACAATTAGAAAAAATACATGTACTGTAAATGTTTATGATCTTAGCTAGCCTGAAAATCAATCAGTTTTATCATATAAATATTTGATGCCAATTTAATATCATTTCTACTACAGTCGACCCCCCTATGACACTGTTGATTATTCCGTTTTATATGAATTCCATGTTGTACGAATCACTTAGATTTTACAAATACGTGAGCCATTCACAGCCCGGCACACGTATTTGTAAAATCTAAGTGACTCGTACAACATGGAATTCATATAAAATGGAATTATCAACAGTGTTATAGGGAGGTCGACTGTATCTTATTTTTTGTACTTAAAACTTCTATTGACTCATAATTACATTTCAGTTATTACATTTAATTAGTAAGAAAAGCTAACATAATGAGTCTTAATAAGGCAATTATGCACAAATAATATATGTAACTTTCCATATTCCATATAATTATTTTTTTTAATTGAATTTAATGATGATATGTTTTAATTTGAAATTGTAATACATAAATTTTCTTTGACATCAGACTGGAGTTACAGATAAGAAAGTTCAACTTGACAAGTTTTTTCTTTATTAGAACAGCTTTCTATTACATTTTAAATCTGCATTAATCAAGAGGATAATGATAATGTACTATAAAATCAATTTAGCTGATTTTTCATTTTAGCTAAAAGAATCTTTGTTTTAAAAATACTTACTCTACCATATTCTGATGCCCAAGAAACTGTAATAGTATTTCCATGAGTAGGAGATAATTTACACAAACCAGTAATATTAACTGGCCTGCTTGGTCTTTTTGGTTCCACACCAGGTTTGTTTGTTGGAATAGGATTCTTGGAAAAAATTAAGAAACAAAATAAAAATTTTTAAATATAAAACTTACTTTCTTAATCAGATCATAATTACCGGTAATGGACACATTTTCTGGTTGACTTTTACACAAATACTGGGAGGAAAATTATCATCTTGTTCACAACTGGTTTCTAATAAGCAAAACCTTAATTGTACTTGAACTGAATAATCATTTTTGGCACCAGGTCTCAAATCCCTAAATAAAAGTTCTTCTCATTAGATATTTCAAAAACATTTTATACAAAAAATTTAATTCAAGTTTATTAAAATTTTCTTCATATACTCAGTCAGTAATAATTAATTCATCACTTTATTATTAAAAATTTAATTTTAAATAAATCTCTCAAAAGTATTTTCTTAAATTAATTTTATATGCAGAAAAAGTTGTCTGAAGTTTATTTTTTGTAGTCTTTAATTTTATAATTAATCACTAATTTCCCCATCCTGTCCAGAGTGAAATTTTGAATTATCCTGATTAGTCAAGGATAATGTTAAAAGGTTCCTTTATTTTTGGATGAGAAATGACAAACTCAGTCATCATCATTGAGGGCCTTTATTCTTTCACGAGTAAACATACGAAAAAGATGTGGGCACTCCACCTTAATTCTTTAACCCTGCGTTAGTGCACTGAGTTTTTTTTCGGCATTAGTGCAGTGGGGCGTTTGACCACCCCGACATTTTTTTGAGTCCATAAACCATGTAAGTAAAAATTCATAAAGATTTACTNTCAAAATAAGTTTTAAAATTTCTGTTATTATATACTTACACATTAACCTAGGAGGACTATGTTGAACAACTGATGTGTTTATAACATGTGTTTCCTTTTTATGTAGAAGTGGTGTCCAAGAACCATCTTCATGAAACTGGACCTCAGTACAATCTGATGGGGCTTTAGTTGTGATTTCCATAAATAATCTAAATGTATGAAAATATTTACTTTAATCAAAATCAATATTTTTAAAAAGTTCTTCTCTAATCAAATCAAATGTAATATTAAATCAGTGTTTTGCATCATTTCATGTTTTGTAATGAAATATACATTTTATAATTGAATAAAGAATTGTTTAATAAGATGTTTTACTCTTGCTTTGGATTTGAAGATTATACATTACTGGTAGCTTTCTTATATTGAATCATTGTTTATTAAAGTGAATTCAGATAGTAACCCTTGACAAATTTAAGTTATTCTTTTCATAAAGTTATAAATGCAAAGCTGTGAAAAATATTTTGTTTATACCAAAGCATAAAATATAAAGTGTATGAAAATAATCATAATTTAAGAGCACATTTCATTTCTAAAAACCTCTCAAAAATCAAAATTTGAAAAAAAAAAAAGGGTTAAGCTTATCCATTTCTTATGAACAAAATTTGTATTTTGTTCTGAGATAACTCAGTCAGTACAATATGTTCCAGACAACATCAATTAATGATTCTAAATTAAATAAAATGAAACTGTCGATCAGGTTAGTATTACCAACTTAAAAGGCATTAATATGAAAGTAGAAAAGCAAATACATAAGTCATCACATATTTATTTATTTAATAATAAGAAAATGATAGTTAAAACAATGAGCAAGCAGAAACAAGAAAACTTGTTTTCTAATCAATAAATCGTATTTGTTGATAGAATAGCTTGAAATATGAACTATACAACTATGTTGTAACAAATGCTATCATCCCTAGAAAATGAATGCACAGTGCAAATGAAACAAAATGTAAACTGGAACTTATAAGCTATCTATTTAGATGCAAAAATTTTAATGTCATCACACTTATGATTAGAATATTTTATTCTTAGAAATATCAGCTGGTGTTCATCATATCAAATATTTCATCTTGTAAATGGAGAAAAGAAAAACTCACTGTATTGAATTACTGTACACCAAGTATTTGTAAGTTAAATCAAATTGTTTTTTTTTTCCTATTTCAATATATGTATAAAGAATGTGAGTAATTGGGCTGAAAATTTGAAAAAACTGTAGACCTATAAATTCCCACTATCATCTGTCCATCTTTCCTTAATCTCAAGAACAGTTAGATAGATAAAATACGAGACCAGATTTGGAAACCTTAGGGACAGGAGCCCAGATTAACAATATATGAACTTCTGATGCAAACTGGAAGTCATGTTATTTCAATTCAAATCTTCCTCTGAAAGCTGTTAAGAAATGACCAGCACAACTTTATTGTTAAAGGAAAAGTATGATGTATAGGAGCAAGCCACTACTAATTTGAAGGTGAAAAGCATATATTTTAAATTAAATAAATTAAAAATAGCAGCCTGACATTGTGATGTCACAATAAATAATTGCATGTATAGGAGTTAATATTTGAAATAAAAAACTAACAAATTAAAAANTTAATATATTTTTTAAAAGAAACAAAACCACCGAGAAATGTTACGTGTGTTTAACAACGGGTTCGGAAAACTTTGAAAATGTTAACAACGGGTTCGGCCAACCTGTGTGAACCCGCTGAATATCACCACTGTCAATAGGTAGAAGAGATGTTGCTCAGGCTTTCTCTATACCCTAGTTTTTATTTCTTTTTTAAGATTACTTTTAAGGAATAAGTCCAAAAAATGCACAAAGGAACTACTCTCTTGCTCCAAATGTAAGATGAAATTCAAATGGGTTGTTATTGTGTCCAAAAATATATTAAAGTTGAACTTTCAGTTTCGCATAATAAGGAACACTACCCATATAGCTTGAATATTCAATGATATGCTGTTGAAACATCAGAACCAAGGAATCGCCAATAATCTCAAAACTAATTCACGTAACATCTGAAAAGTGGGCTTCCCACTGGAACCTGCTATTCTGTATGTAGCTCTTGTCTCAGAAATGAAAAATGCTCCATTTAGCAGAGTCAACAGTTGTAACTGAGCAAAGGCGTTTCAATCGGTAGCTATTACATAGTTACATCTGCTGAATGATGCATGACATATGCAACTGGAACAGGTAGCATAAATAAAAGATGCTATTAAATGTGATGTAAAAACACCAAACATGTTCCAAAACAGCACTACTGTAGAGGGTGTTCAACAGAAAAATACTCAACAGCTCTGGAACTGTTGCATCTGCTGAATGCAGCTGATGACATAAGAGATTGGCCTAAAATATCTTAACGGTATCTACTAGTTATTAATATTAGCAAAAGGAAAATCCCACAGATGGAAGAAGCATGGTTATACAGTTGTGTATTGATTAAGAGATAATAAAACAAACTATCACTGTCAAACTCTGATTATCTGAATGCCAATTATTCAAACCACCACTTGCCTTCCTTTCTGTCTCATACTAACATCAGACTGCAATTCTCCCTTATATCATGCAACTACATGATCAGTGATGTCTATTTGCAGTTGTGAGGACCCAAACAGGGTCCAAAGGGAGGCAATTAATTTTTCAAAGGAGTCAAGTTTCATAGCGCGAAAGAGCGAACTTAAAAATCAGATTTAAACAATGAACCTTTTGTCTTGTTAAAAGATTTCAAACAATAGATAAAATAAAGTCAAGGAAAACGAGGCTGGAGAGGAGTCGTGTTCCGACGTGACGTTGACCTCTCCTGTGCCCTTCGTTGGGTTTCGAATTGTCACCATGTGACGAGGAGAGACCAATGGAGAGGCGACTGCGATGGAAAAATTGATAAAACCGCGTTTTCGGAAACTTTACAAGGTCTTGGGTTTTGGTGCGTAATGCTTCCCTGCTGGGATTTGGTGCTCACAACAGAGATACAACGTAGGCTCTTTCGACGCCCTAGGAGCTGGTTTCGCCTACCCGTCACATCCATAAGCACTGAGGTCATGTCCAGAATCGTTGAGGTTTGACTCGTCCACTGAGGACATCTCTACAAGTGCTGGTGCATGCCCTGGGTCACTGTTCAGCGTTCCAAAAATACCCAAGGACCAACTGAACAGTCGAACTTTTCCATTTTTATTGGAACTGTTATAGTAACCCATCGTTGGATAGGCTTTTGCCAGACATATTGAATTATTATAAGAACAATTTATGTATTTTATTAAACGGTTTTATATGGGAAACCTGTCTCGGAGAGTCATTCTGCGCCCACAAGACAGAATTGACCGCTCGGCTGTCGAAAACACTTCACCCCAATCGGTTGTCCTCACACAGTGATAGATTCAAATGATCAATCATCGCACATTAATGAATAAATAAATACAATATTATGCTGTTATCCTGTAAGTTTTTTACATGTTAATCTACTTATTCAAATCGCCTGCAGAATGAATCAATCCAGATAACTGGAGTTCTACTGTACTGTCATGTATTCATCATCTGCCAAGGCAATACTCTTCAATCTCTGCATCAACTGAGTCATATTTAAAAACCACACATGGTTATATAATCCAGTAAACCGAGATCATCCTAAGCAACTTTCATTCCAATAATATAGCCAGGAAGAACTTTTTATCCAGCACAGGCCTCTTAGAACTGCTGGTAAAGGTAAGATCATATCTTTAAATTTTAATGCTAGTACAGAAAAAGGAAATTTCTTTACGATGCCAACATGTTAATGGGTACTTCACTACACTCTTACAAGGCTTTAGTATTTATGTCCCTCACACATTAATACTACTGCCTTGGTCTTATCAACCCTTTCAGCTATTATCCCATTTCTTGCCAATCAATCCCTGCTTTTCTTAATCATTAACAACAACAACCAGCTACAACCTGGACTGTAGAGGCCTACTGCAACTATCAGATCTGAGACTGCAAGGCTGTGCTTGCTTGGAGACTAGGAAAATACTATAGACATGGAATAGTACCAGTAGACCATCTATAATCATATAATCTTCATTTGTAGTCAGGCTGGCTACAAGAAAGGCAGCCGAGTTGCTCTCCCCATCACTCCCCTATACCTGCCATCCCTCCTTTCAGCATTGTCATATGCAGTGTAGCCATATTTCTTGCAGGTTTCAATGTAGATTCAAAGAGAAATTTATCCCCCGAGATGGACCTACTCATTTGACATATAATGATTCTGTTTCACATCATATTCATAATATGACAGATACTGTTAAGTGCAAACTGGTAAATCATGTTAAGAATAGTTTGCACCATGTATTGCAAATTGACGAGTCAACTAATATAGCTAGACTGGTGTATGTATTTTAGTTTATGTTAGGTACTTTTCAAATGGTTCCATTCAGGAAGATCTCTCTTGTCAATTTTT